CACACACACACACACACACACACACACACACACACACACACACACACGAAAAAAACATTTAAGTACATCAGAAGCAGGACGCTTGCCAAACAATCAGTGGGGCCACTGGATGATCGAGATGCTAAAGGAGCACTCAGGGAAAACAAGGCCATTGTGGAGAAATTAAATGAATTCTTTTCATCTGAAGAGGATGTGAGGGAGATTCCCACACCTGAGCCATTCTTTTGAGGTGACAAATCTAAGAAGCTGTCCAGAATGAGGTGTCAGTAGAGGAGATTTTGGAACAAAATGATTAAACAAAGAGTAGTAAGTGACCAGAACCAGATGGTATTCATCCAAGAGTTTCAAGGAACTCAAATATGAAATTGCAGAACTTCTAACTGTGGGTATGTAATCTGTTACTTAAATAAGCCTCTGTACCTGATGACTGGAGGGTAGCTAATGCAATGCTGATTTTTTAAAAAAGTTTTCAGAGGCAACCTTGGCAGTTACAAGCCGCTTAGCGTAACTTCAGTACCAGGCAAATTGGTTACAGTAAAGAACAGAATGATCAGACACAGAGACGAACAGCATATGCTGGGGAACAGTCAACATGACTTTTGTGAAGGGAAATCATGTCTTGCAAATCTGTTAGAATTCTTTGAGGTATCAACACGCAGGTGGACAAGGGTGATCTAGTGGATATAGTGTACTTGGACTTTCAGAAAGCCTTTGACAAGGTCCCTCCCCAAAGGCTCGTAAGCAAACTAAGCTGTCATGGGATCAGAGGGAAGGGCCTCTCATGGATCAGTAATTGGTTAAAAGATAGGAAACAAAGGGTAGGAATAAATGGTCAGTGGAGAGAGGTAAACAGCTGGGTCTCCGTTCAGCATAGAATCATAGAAGATTAGGATCGGAAGAGACCTCAGGAGGTCATCTAGTCCAACCCCCTGCTCAAAGCAGGACCAACGCCAACTAAATCATCCCAGCCAGGGCTTTGTCGAGCCGGGCCTTAAAAACCTCTAAGGATGGAGATTCCACCACCTCCCTAGGGAACCCAGTCCAATGCTTCCCCCCTCCCCCCCCCCCGCCAGTGAAATAGTGTTTCCTAATATCCAACCTAGACCTCCCCCACTGCAACTTGAGACCATTGCTCCTTGTTCTGTCATCTGTCACCACTGAGAACAGCCGAGCTCCATCCTCTTTGGAACCCCCCCTTAGGTAGCTGAAGGCTGCTATCAAATCCCCCCTCATTCTTCTCTTCTGCAGACTAAACAAGCCCAGTTCTCTCACCTCATAAGTCATGTGCCCCAGCCCCCTGATCATTTTCGTTGCCCTCCGCTGGACTCTCTCCAATTTGTCCACATCCTTTCTGTAGTGGGGGGCCCCAAAACTGGATGCAATATTCCAGATGTGGCCTCACCAGTGGAGGGGAATAATCATTTCCCTCGATCTGCTGGCAATGCCCTACTTATACAACCCAAAATGCTGTTAGCCTTCTTGGCGCAACAAGAGCACACTGCTGACTCATATCCAGCTTCTCATCCACTGTAACCCCTAGGTCCTTTTCTGCAGAACTGCTGCCTAGCCAGTCGGTCCCTCGTCTGTAGCAGTGCATGGGATTCTTCCATCCTAAGTGCAGGACTCTGCACTTGTCCTTGTTGAACCTCATCAGATTTCTTTTGGCCCAATCCTCTAATTTGTCTAGGTCACTCTGGACCCTATCCCTACCCTCCAGTATATCTACCTCTTCCCCCAGCTTAGTGTCATCTGCGAACTTGCAGAGGGTGCAATCCATCCCACCACTCAGATCATTAATAAAGATGTTGAACAAAACTGGCCCCAGGACCGACCCCTGTGGCACTCCGCTTGATACCTGCTGCCAACTAGACATCGAGCCGTTGATCACTACCCATTGAGCCCAGCTCTCTAGCCAGCTTTCTATTCACCTTATAGTCCATTCATCCAATCCATACTTCTTTAACTTGCTGGCAAGAATACTGTGGGAGTATATAGAGTCATAACAGTCATAAATGATCTGGGAAAAGGGGTAAACAGTGAGGTGGCAAAATTTGCAGATGATACAAAACTACTCAAAATAGTTAAGTCCAAAGCAGACAGCGAAAAGTTACAAAGGGATCTCACAAAACTGGGTGACTGGGCAACACAATTGCAGATGAAGTTCAATGTTGATAAATGCACAGTAATTCACACTGGAAAACATGATCCCAACAATACATACAAAACGATGGAGTCTAAATTAGCTGTTAGCACTGAAGAAAGATCTTGGAATCATTGTGGATAGCTCTCTGAAAACATCTACTCAATGTGTAGCAGCAGTCAAAAAAGCTAACAATATTAGGAACCATTAGGAAAGGCATAGATAAGACCACCGTAAATATCATAATGCCGCTATATAAATCCATGGTATGCCCACACTTTGAATACTGTGTGCATTTCTGGTCACCCCAGCTCAAAAAAGATATTAGAACTAGGGCTGTCAATTAATCGCATTTAACTCATGCGATTAACTCAAAAAAATTAATTGCAATAAAAAAAATTAAGCGTAATTAATTGCACTGTTAAACAGAATACCAATTGAAATTTATTAAATATTTTTGGATGTTTTTCTATATTTTCAAATATATTGATTTATATTACAACACAGAATACAAAGTGTACAGTGCTCACTTTATATTATTTTTTATTACAAATATTTGCATTGTAAAAATGATAAACAAAATAAATAGTATTTTTCAATTAACCTCATACAAGTTCTGTAATGCAATCTCTTTATCCTGAAAGTGTAATTTACAAATGCAGATTTTTTTGTTACATAACTGCACTTAAAAACAAAACAATGTAAAACTTTGGAGCCTATAAGTCCACTCAGTCCTACTTCTTGTTCAGCCAATCTCTAAGACAAACAAATTTGTTTACATTTACAGAAGATGCTGCTGCCTGCTTCTTATTTACAATGTCACCTGAAAGCGAGAACAGGAGTTCACATGGCATTTTTGTAGCTGGCGTTGCAAGGTATTTACGTGCCAGATATGCTAAACATTCGTATGCCCCTGCATGCTTCAGCCACCATTCCAGAGGACATGTTTCCATGCTGATGATGCTCCTTAAAAAATAATGCGTTAATGAAATTTGTGACTGAACTCCTTGGGGGAGAACTGTATGTCTTCGGCTCTGTCTTACTCACATTCTGGCATATATTTCAAGTTATAGCAGTCTCGGATGATGACCCAGCACATGTTTGCTTTAAGAACACTTTCACAGCAGATTTGACAGAACGCAAAGAAGATACCGATGTGAGATTTCTAAAAATAGCTACAGCAGCTGACCCAAGGTTTAAGAATCTGAAGTGCCTTCCAAATCTGAGATAGGGATGAGATAGGGAGCATGCTTTCAGAAGTCTTAAAAGAACAACACTCAGATGTGAAAACTATAGAACCCAAACCACCAAAAAAGAAAATCAACCTTCTCCTGGTGGCATTTGACTCAGATGATGAAAATGAACATCCGTCGGTTTGCACTGCTTTGGTCATTATCAAGCAGAACCTATTATCAGTATGGATGCATGTCCTCTGGAATGGTGGTTGAAGCATGAAGGGACATATGAATCTTTGGCGCATCTGGCATGTAAATATCTTTTGACGCCGGCTACAACAGTGCCATGAGAATGCCTGTTCTCACTTTCAGGTGACATTGTAAACAAGAAGCGGGCACATTATCTCCAGTAAATTGTAACCAAATTTGGTTGTCTGAGCGATTGGCTGAAGTAGGACTGAATGGACTGGTAGGTTTTACATTGTTTTATTTTTCAATGCAGTTATTTTTTGTACATAATTCTACTTTTGTAAGTTCAACTTTCATGATAAACAGATTGCACTACAGTACTTGTATGAGGTGAATTGAAAAATACTATTTCTTTTGTTTTTTTACAGCACAAATATTTGTAATAAAAAATATAAAGTGAGCACTGTGCACTTTGTATTCTGTGTTGTAACGGAAATAAATATATTTGAAAATGTAGAAAACATGCAAAAATATTTAAATAAATGGTATTCCATGATTGGTTAATCACACAATTGATTGCGATTAATCTTTTTAATCGCTCGACAGCCCTAATTAGAACTGGATAAAGTAAAGAGAAGGGCAACAAAAATTACTGGAGAGATTAAAAAGACTGGGACTGTTGAGTTTAGAAAAGAGACGACTAAGGGCAGATATGATAGAGGTCTATAAAATCATGAATGGTGTGGAGAAAGCAAATAGGGTAAATAACACTTCCTTTTCACATAACACAAGATCCAGCAGACACCATATGAAATTAATACGCACCACGTTTAAAACAAACAAAGGAAGTACTTATTCACGCGATGCACAGCCAAAGGATGATGTGAAGGCCAAAGTATACGTGGTTTCAAAAAAGAATGAGGTAAGTTCATGGGGGATAAGTCCATCAATGGCTATTAGCAAGATGGTCAGGGATGCAATCCCATGTCCTGGGTGTCCCTAAACCTCTGACTGCCAGAACCTGGGAATGGGCGACAAGGACTGGATGGTTTGATAATTGCCCTGTTCTGTTCATTCCCTCTGAAGCACCTGGCATTGGCCACTGTCGGAAGACAGGATACTAGGCTAGAAGGATATTGGTCTGACCCAATACAGCCGTTCTTATGTTGATTTAAAAAAACATTCCCATCCCAAATTGGGATGAAAAGTCAAAATCTCAAAAATATTTGCAAACTGAGCATCCAAAAATAATAATAAATCAGTTTGGGTCAATTCATAGAATCACAGAAGATTAGCGTTGGAAGAGACCTCAGGAGGTCATCTAGTCCACCCCCCTGCTCAAAGCAGGACCAACCCCAACTAAATCATCCCAGCCAGGGCTTTGCCAAGCCAGGCCTTAAAAACCTCTAAGGATGGAGATTCCACCACCTCCCTAGGTACCATCCCCCCCAGTCGAAGTATTTTGTTTTGATTTTGACCTTTTTCATATTTTTACTATAAATTAACTTCACTTTTGAAATGAAAAGTGGCTTCTAACTGAAAAACTGAACTTTTTGTTTAGAAAATGTCAGAATGAAACATGAGACACAAGGTGGGTGAAGTTTTATTGGACCAATGTCTGTTGGTGAGAGACAAGCTTTTGAGCTTACACAGAGCCCATCTTCAGGTCTGTGGGGCTCGAAAGCTTGTCTCTCTCACCAACGGAAGTTGGTCCAATAAAAGATATTCCCTCGCCCATCTTGTCCCTGATACCCTGGGACCAACACGGCTACAATAATCCTGCATAAAACAAAACATGGACAAATCAAACTTTTTTCTGAAACGAGAACTTTGTCAAAATTGACCCTTTCCTGCGACAAGTTTTGATTTAGATGAATTGACGTTTTCCAAAGAAAAAAACGTTTTATTGAAAAATTCCCAACCAGCCTCAGGCATCACAGCCTCCGTCTTCTCTTATGACATTAATGACACAAACTACGCTCACCCCACACACACACTCTGGTCTTAGTGAGGCCAAGGCACTGCCTTCTTGCCCCATTCTCCACCAGCTATGCCTCTGTAGTTCATGGGTGTGTCTCCACTGTGACTGCAGCATGTGTAGACATACCCAAGCTAAGCTGGCTCAAGTAACAATAGCAGTGAAACCACGGCAGCACAGGAGGCAGCTGCTCAGGGTCCCACCATGACTTCACTGCGATTCGTGCTAGAGCTAGCTTTGATCTAGCTTGGGTACATCTACACGTGCTGCGATCATAGTCCTGATTGCAAGATAGACATACCCTGCAAACCCCTCAGGGCAGGCACCTGTCTCTATCCAGTGTTCAAATAACAAGAGTGGGACGAGACCCAGATCCAGGAAGGGAAGGGGCAGCACCCCAGAGGCCGCCCCATTGCAGCAGGTGTGGGAGTGCTGTGGGAAAGGGCTGCCTTGCCCAGCTGGCTAGCGACCACCTCAGGCTGATGGAAAGAGCAGCAGCACCATGCCCTTCAGGGCTCAGACATGGGAGGGAGTCATGTGGTATGTTGACCATGAGGGGCAAAAAGAGAGATCTCAGCCCATCCCCACCCAAAAAGCCGAAAGAGAAATGCCACAGGGGCGGGAGAGAACCAGACAAAGAACTGGCAGGCACATGGGTTCTAGGGAGAGAAAACTGCACAACATTCAAGGGGAAGAGAGAACCAGAGCCCCAGGAGGGGAGTTCAATTTTAGAGCGAGATGGTGTGTGGGGAGCTGGAAAGATCAGCCCTCTAATGTGTCTCAGTTCCCTACCCTTTCTGGGGGAGGGGCAACGAACCTGCACCATGCCCTCCTGGCTAGCCCTCGGGGAGCCCAGTGAGTGGAGCTCTGCAGAAACGCTCAAGCCACGGTGACATCCCGCAGCAGAGGTTTCCCACGTCCAACAGGGCACTGGGAAGAGGCAAGTGATGCACAGCAAGTCCCAGTCACTTACTTTCAGGATATGCCCAGGCACCTGAGTATTTCTGGAGTCCAACTGTTCGTATTTCATCAAGAGGTTCAAAATCCAAGGCTGGAGGACGTAGACTTTAGGGACAGACAGCCACCTCCTCTCGTCCTCTAACCTGAGAGAGAAGAGGCAGGGGTCAGGTCTGAAGACAGGGAAGTGTGAAGTCTGCAGCTTCAGCCCAGAGTTCAGAGACACATACAAAACAGCAGAAAGGCCAGCAATTGCCCCCAGCTCTCACTGGCAACAGCTCAGTGACCATTAGGAAAGATGGATCAGGTCCCTTCCCTGGGCAGGACCCTGCACATGGATCTCACCAGCATTCCTTCCCTGGCTGTCCGGGCAAGCCATTTTCCCGTTGCATCTTTAATGCATACAGCTATTTGCGGTCCCTCCATGGCTGCTATTTAAATCCCACCGCAAAGGGCTGGTGACCCCTCGCAGTACAGTCGAGCAGAAACAGCTACCTATGCTTACCCCAAAGTGTCCATCCTTCTAGTAGGGAAGGCCACAGATCTCGCCCAGCTGAAGAAAACATCTGACCTCTGGACTGTATCTCAAGAGCTGTGTTTTTTGACTGAGGAGAATAGGTTCCCTGCAGTAATTGACTGTAATGGGAGGGTATTAATTCCTCATTGTTCATGACGAATTAATTTATTATTGATATTGGCAGAGCACTTGGGAGCCCCAGCCATGGCCCCAGCCCCCGCTGTGCCAGGCACTGGGCAGGCACAGAACAAAACGAGCTCACAGTTTCAACATTAAAAATGAAGTAACTCTTCTAAAGCTGCTGTGGCAATTCTCTTGTTCAGGGACTGATCCAACTTCCCATGCCTTGCCCAACAGGCCCGATTCTGGGCTCCAGGCAGGCTGGAGACCCGCTGGAGGGGATCTGCAGAGCTTCCTGTTAGAAGAAAGGGGATTTGCAGGTACACATGGATGATTTCCCTGTGTCTAAGCCCCTTTTTATTCTACCGTAAGTATTTCTATGGCCCCCATTCTATGGTATTTGAGCACTTCCCAGGCTTTGATGTATTTCTCCCCCCAATACCCCTGTGAGACAGGGCGCGGCTACTATCCACAATGGACAGAAACTGGAGCACCAAGAGGCTGGGCCATGGAAAGTCTGTGCAGGAGAAGAGAACTCAAGCCTCCTAGGCCATCCTTCCCATCAGGTTTTACGGCAGTCACCGTGTGCAGCTCTGTGACCGGCTGCATCACTCAGCGACAGGCAGTGCTTGAACAGCAGGCCTGCGCGTCTTTCACTGTGCAGCTTCAAGGGACGGTACCACACTGAGCTCCCTCCCCTCCTTCTCTCAGACGCCCCTTCCCAGAACGCGTCAGCCATAACCCAGGCTATCGCAGCCCGGCTGTTCCACAGCACAGCCGGAGGGAAGAGGTCGCTAGCAGCTGCCATGGGGGCTTGTGACCCCTCTCCCATTCCCCACCTCCAGTCTCTGCTGAAGGGCATTTACTCAGCCACGACAAGCGCCACACACAAACGTGCCTACCCCCAGGTTCCTCGCTCAGAGAGAAGTGCCGTGATTTCATAGAATCATAGAATATCAGGGTTGGAAGGTGTGACAGCGTACCCCATAAGGCTTTAAACGTATGTATGATATAACTGGAATAGGGTTTTGCTACATATGCCATGTAACATATCTATGTAAAGGTTATGATCTACTGGTTATGTTCATCCTAGTTGTATGCAGGCACCATTTGTGTGTTCAAAGTTATGAACATTGGCTGTATAATTGCTTGATTTCTAAGTAGCCTTAGTTAGAACATTTGGTCACTTCTTGGGAAAGGAATGTGCAAATTAGGTGCTCAATCAGGAAGCACTTAACAGACAAAAGAGCTCGGAAGGCTCCAATCCACATAAGAAGTCTACCTGAGGACGTTCAAGGTAGCATGTGGGTAATGGCTGCTACCTGCAAGTCCTGAGTCATGCATGGGCATGTGACTTGCCCATGTGATTCCGGATCTCCATTTTGTGACTGGATTCTACACAGGGTGAGGAGGGGGTCTCCACCCACAAGAGAAAGTCTATTTAAACCCCTGGGAGACCCCTCCATTTTGTCTTCAGCTGGCTAAAGAAGAAGCCTCTCCACCCCACAGAATACTGGAAGGAAACTGGAACAAAGGACAGTAACTACAGGGGGTGTGAGTGATTGCTGGACCCAGGCTAAAAGGAGATTAGCCTGTAAAAGGGAGCATTCTGGAACTGGTGAGGATCTTATCTGTATTCAGTGTTTGATTAGACATGGATTTGCGTGTTTTATTTTATTTTGCTTGGTGACTTACTTTGTTCTGTCTGTTACTACTTGGAACCACTTAAATCCTACTTTCTGTATTTAATACAATCACTTTTTACTTAGTAAAAAACTCAGAGTATGTATTAATACCTGGGAGAGCAAACAACTGTGCATCTCTCTCTATCAGTGTTATAGAGGACGAACAATTTATGAGTTTACCCCGCCTAAGCTTTATACAGGGTAAAACGGATTTATTTGGGTTTAGACCCCATTGGGAGTTGGGCATCTGAGTGCTAAAGGCAAGCACACTTCTGTGAGCTGTTTTCAGGTAAACCTGCAGCTTTGGGGCAAGTAATTCAGACCCTGGGTCTGGATTGGAGCAGACGGGAGTGTCTGGCTCAGCAAGATAGGGTGCTGGAGTCCTGAGCTGGCAGGGAAAACTGGAGCAGAGGTAGCCTTGGCACATCAGTTGGCAGCTCTCAGGGGGGTTTCTGAGATCCAACCCGTCACAGAAGGGACCTCAGGAAGTCATCTAGTCCAACCTCCTGCTCAAAGCAGGACCAATCACCAGACACATTTTTACCCCAGATCCCTAAATGACCCCCTCAAGGATTGAACTCACAACCCTGGGTTTAGCAGGCCAATGCTCAAACCACTGAGCAATCCCTCAGTACTGCCCCTTTGACAGGAATTCCTGCCCAGCTGGTGCCCTCTGTGCAGGGCAGCACTAGTCTGAGACTCCCACGAGTCCCTATAGGGCTGCCCAAAGTGCTATTCAAAGCCCCTCAGCCCCTCCCTGGGGGCAGAAATGCAGGATTTTCAGCCCTATGCTCCCTGGGCTCTTAGATGAGCTGGGTTTGGGAGCCTGGCGCACGAGGACGGAAAGAGACCAAACCCCAACGTCGCCTTGGCGTTGGCCTGCATAACAGATGAGGGAGTAGCTCAGGTCAGCCCAGTATTTGTCCTGCACACAAAAGACCATTTACCCTGCTCCCCATTCAGGGCCCGAGCCTACCAGGCGCTACAGGCATTCCACACTTCCTAGGATCTGGCCTCACAATCCCATGGGGTAGCCAGTTCTCCACATGCAGGAGACACAGAGCCAGCATGTCTTTGTAGGTAAACGTCGCCGGCCGAGATCAAGAGGGGAGAGCGCCACGTGAAGGAAGGCCAGCATGGCGATAAAGCAGCACGCTCAGTAGCGGAGACATGGGCATACAGCACATACATGGGCATTCTGCATGCAAAGACGGAAAGTGGGAGGCTGGCCTCTCTACAAGGGCATGGGTGAGGTAGCTGGGTGCCTGGCGTGGGATGTACAATCTTACCGCTGCATTCCTTCGCACTCTGGAATTCGGTCAGGGTTCTTTGCTTGGAAGATCGTAGACCTCGGAAGGTAACACACACTCAAACCGCTGACATGCCTGCAACCACGAGAGAGACAAAGCAAGTAAAGCAATGTCTGTTACGAATCAACTTGCGTTGGAGAAAAGGGCAGCTTTTGAGCTTCAGGTAGCTCTCCTTCAGGTCTCGGGAAGGTAGCCAGAGTGTCCAAGCTAAAAACATAGTGGGATAGCGGTCTCCTATAGCATGTCTGAACCACTTATGTTAACAAGCTGTCCCACCATGTATTTAACTTGGACACTCCGGTCACCTTTCCCAGACATGAAGAAGACTCTGAAGCTCAAAAGATTGTCCCTTCCACCAACAGAAGTTATCCCAAGAAGAGGTATCACCTCCCCCACCTTGTCTCTTTAATATCCTGGAACCAACACGGCTACAACAACCCTGCAATTAACCATGTCACCCCCTTAGCTGTATGTGGGAATTTCCTTTGTTTCCCCACTCTCTGTTGGAGAACAGCCCAATTCCTGTAACCCGCCCTAGGAGGCCCACAAGAGGGAAGGCCTGCTCTAGTGCACCATAAGGAGCATGAGCGAGGGAGAAATGAGTTGATTAATGCAAAGATACCAAGCTGTTGGGATAACATGCAACACTGGAAACCATTTTATAAATTTCCACAAACTTGGTCACCTGCAGGCTGGCATTTGGGGGATAGAAAAGGAAAGGACGTAGAGATATTCCAGCCACAGATGAAGATTTCTTCAAATGCCTTGAAAAGGAAAGTGTTCTCTAAAGCTGCTAGCTGGTTCATCTAATTGCAGTGTACAGGAATTAGGCAGACTATTTTACAGCAGTTTGTGAGCCTTCTAGTGGTGCTCACTGTGTTCTTTGCTTTAGATTTGAGCTTGGCATTAAGTGTTAAGCCTCAAACATTAAGCCAGAGCATTAAGCTAGGTCTTGGATGTTTGTCTGTAGGTAATGAACATGGTTATTTGGGAGCCTGCTGTGTCCAATTTCTTCATTTTTGTTGTGTTCAGAGAAAAAGACAAGACTAATCATAACAAATATTTTAGATCTGTGACAAGTAAACACATTGATACATTTAGACATTTTTCCTGTTCTTAATCAGTCTAAGAACAAGCCTGGCTTGCTATAGAGAGGCTTGGCAGAAACGGACTTTTTTTCCCACTTATAATTTCGACAGATAATATCAATGTTGATTTTTAAGCATTGTTTTAGATTTCTAGCTATTTAAATTCTCCTGGTTGTGGAGAAATTACTGGGGTGGGGGAGGTCAGACACTTATTTAATGACACCAGATGTTGAGATTCAGAAAGTTAAAGCTATATAAACCGTTAAACCACAAATTGTCAATCTCACCTGTGAAAATACACAAAGTAAATATCCTTAAATCAACAAACCTTACCTGTTTTTACAATTCATTCGCTAGTCCATTTGTGACAAGCCTAAATCACTGGATTTGGTCTCTAAGTTCTCAAAAAGCGTTTTTCTTACGTCGCCTATCTGTACATTTAATTACTGATGGAAATATTTGTTCAGTGTGTGTGTTGAAATCGACATTTACTGGTAAAAATCGAATCGCTCCAAGCCTGGCTATAGACGGTCTCTATCATTTCGGCGAACGGGTTACAGCTGGGTTTGCCACCAGTTGGCTGGCTGCTGGTTTTGGCTGACTGTAGGTTCACTAACAAAGAAAACGAAAGAGAAAGTGGGGACAATACACCGGATCCAGCGGGGCAGTGAGCGCGTGGACTAGGAGCCCGGACTCCTGGGTTCCGACTGGGCCCTGTGAGTCCTGTAAAGACGTCTGGAAAATGGGGGTGACACTTTAGCCCATATCCCGGCAGGCTTAAATCGCTTCCTGACCGCAAAGATCCCCCGGCAAAAGGCACGTCCCGAAGGCTGGGGACAGGAGTGACCCAGCAGCCCCGGGCTGGGAGCCTTGCAGACGCTGCTCCTATTTGCCCGTTTCCTTCACTGGATTTACCTTTCCGTCAGGCCGGCGGGGGCCAGATCGCGCGGAGTCTGCGGCTTTTCCGGGCCCGCCGCCTCTCGCATCCTGGCGGCGGGGGAGCGGGGCGCTCACTGGGGCTTCGTGGCGGGGCGCGGGGGCCGGGAGGCTGGGTCCCCTCCGCCGCCGGGAGCAGCAGGCAGGGGGTGCACGGCGCTGCGCATGGCCGAGGGGGAGCGGGGGGCTCAGCGCAGCCCGCGGCAGGTTACAACAGCTGGGGAGGAGGGAGGCGCCTCTGGTGACCCAGGAAGGAAACGGCCGCGGAGCCTGTCCGCGTGGGCGGGGCCAGGCTGCGCAAGCCGTGCCCGGGGGTGGGGGGGCGGCCATTGCTGTGTGGGGATGGAGCCGGGTTGCGTTTACACGGGCGCAGCGGGACTCCCGGCGCGGGGCCGCGCTGCGCTAATGGCAAGAGTTGTGTGAGGCAGATGGGTGGGGAGAGCTTTGCTCGGCCACCCTCTGGGCGAGAGACCCCGTGTCCTTGCCAAGGGCAGGCCGGGCCGGGGGCCCCAGGGGGGAGAGTTCCCATCCTCCGGGGCTCAGCCATGAGGCGGGGCTGTTCTGCAAAGCCATAGCCCCCCCGAGTCACAGAGCAGCACGGAGCCCCTCGTGTGCCAGCAGCTGACCGAGCACAGGGCTGTTTCGCGTCCCGAAGGGTGTGTCTACACGGCAGCCGCGTGTAGGTGTGGCTCCAGCACGGGGGGGCTCTCCCAGCGCCGGCTACACTGCCCCCTTCAGCGCTGACAATGAAGGACGCGCTAACAGAGGGCCGGATTTAGTCAGACATGATTTTGATAAACCGTTTCTGCTGTACACCAATACTTGTGATATTAAACTGAAAGCTGTAATAATACAGGACCAAGAATGGAAAATCCCTGTGATGCATTCAGCAGTGACTAGGGACACCCCTTTCTGCACCAAGTTTGCATGGGGGGGTGACGCTGTATGGAATCTGGGGGCCAGGATATCATGAATACCGATATTGTAAAATTTCAATGAGTTGTGCCAGATATGCCGTGTAAGGTATCTGCAAAAATGTTGTAATTTCCCAAGTATGATCATCTTGTTTATATGTCTGTATCATCTTTGTATTATGAGTTATAGATATGTAGGGTATATCTGTATTTCCAAACTTGTGCTGTGTTTCTGGGTGGCACCCCCAGACATATTGGCATCAGTTCTAGGCCTGCTTGACAGCCCATCAAGGGATATCAACTGTACAATGAACCCATTGAAAGGAACAAGGATTACACCTGATGACTCAGCAAGCCATGTAGGGGCTGCCTATGGACAGAACTCTAAGACAGTAGTTCTCAAACTTTTGTACTGGTGACCCCTTTCCCATAACAAGCCTCTGAGTGCCACCCCCCCCTCTTATAAATTAAAAACACTTTTTATATATTTAACACCATTATAAGTGTTGGATGCAAAGCGGAGTTTGGGGTGGAGGCTGACAGCTCGTGACCCCCCATGTAATAAACTCGCAACCCCCTGAGGGGTCCTGACCCCCAGTTTGAGAATCCTTGCTCTAAGGGCTAGTTTACACTGGCAGTGTTAAAGCGGCAGCACTTTAATGTGGCTGTGTAGTTGCAGCAGAGCGCTGGGAGAGAGTTCTCCCAGCACTCTAAAAAAAACCACCTCTATGAAGGGCGCGGCTCCCAGCGCTGGTGCACTGTCTACACTGGCGCTTTACAGCACTGAAACTTGCTGCACTCTGGGGTGTTTTTTCACACCCCTGAGCGAGACAGTTGCAGCGCTGTAAAGTGCCAGCATAGACAAGCCCTAAGGTTCTTCCATGCCATGTGCTGGACAGCTTGTGTTTGGGACACAGGAAGTACAAGCCACATGGCAAAAGGAATATAAAGGCAGCTGCATCATCTCAATTTTGTGTTCAGTCCTGCTTCTTACCTCTGGAGCAACCTCTCTACACACTCAAGCTCTGACCAAAGGACTGAATGACCCATCCAAGCTGTGGATGTGTTCCAGAGGGACTTTCAAGCCAGCAAACTCACCAATTCTGCTAAGAACCTGATTTTTGGACTTTGAAGTCTTTGTGTGTGTGTGTGTGACTGTTTTACCATTTAACATCTCTCTTCTTGTTCTTTCTAATAATCCTTTAGATGCTAAAGAATTGGCTGGCAGCGTGGTATTTTGGGTAAGATCCAAACCTATACTGACCTGGTAACGTGGCTGACCCTTTGGGATCAGAAGAACATTTGGTATATGTGAGCAGAGTTTTTTAAATAACTTCTCACTGTACTGGACCTAGGTGCTGATTGGGAGCCAGAGAACTGGAATGCGATAAAGGGGACTGTGTATTTCCTTTTTTTTTTTTTTTTGCTTCTTGATAAACTCTTCAACAGTCACACTGGTTAACTTCAGTGTTAACTATCACTCTTAGGGAGAATCTGCTTTTCCTTTTGTAGCCTGCCCGGACTGTGACATTTTCAGTGAGGGCTATGGCAGGCACCATGGGTCACAACTCCCGCAGGGATTTCTGCTGTGAATGCTCTGGCCCTGAGGGAAGGATTCTGTGGAAAACAGGCCTTTCCCTTGCTCCAATCCAGGCTCTGCTGTTCTGATGCTGCAGAGCTGATACAGAAGGCCTAAGGGTTCCTGGAGAGCATGCAGCAAAGCCAGCATTCTATGCTGCCGTAGCCCGGGGGACACGTCTTTCTCTCACGGCACCTTCCAATGGAAGGAAGAACGTGACACGTGAGTTGGAGTCTCTCCTTGGCTTACAGATAACCCATCTGGCAGTAACACAAGTGTGAACTCGGGAATGCAGTGCTGACGTTTATATGCCCTGCAAGATACTCACTCGTGAGAGGAAGCAACACTGTGATTATCACTGGAGTCTGGGCAATAAGGAAGAGGAGTTGGAAATTCTCATTGAGGAGGGGAACTGGGGAAACCTGGTGGGACGATGTGTGTGACTGGAATGTCCGTTTCGCTGGTTACAACCCATATAAGAAGGGAAGAGAGGATGAAAATGGTGGGCTCGGTGGCACTGGACATTAGACACCTGTCATAACTGTAAAGGGAAGGGTAACAACCCTCCTGTGTACAATACCATAAAATCCCTCCTGGCCAAAGACACCAAAATCCTTTTATCTGTAAAGGGTTAAGAAGCTCAGGTAACCTGGCTGACACCTGACCCAAAGGACCAATAAGGGGACAAGATACTTTCAAATCTTGGTGGGGGGAAGGTTTTTGTTTGTGCTCTTTGTTTTGGGGGTTGTTCGCTCTTGGGACTAAGAGGGACCGGACATCAATCCATGCTCTCCAAATCTTTCTGAACAAGTCTCTCATATTTCAAACTTGTAAGTAACAGCCAGGCAAGGCGTGTTAGGTTTATCTTTGTTTTCTCAACTTGTAAATGTTCCTTTTGCTAGGGGGTTTACCTCTGTTTGCTGTAACTTTGAACCTAAGGCTAGAGGGGGTTCCTCTGGGCTCTTTGAATCTGATTACCCTATAAAGTTATTTTCCATCCTGATTTTACAGAGATGATTTTTACCTTTCTTTCTTTCTTTCTTTCTTTCTTTAATTAAAAGCCTTCTTTTTAAGAACCTGATTGATTTTTCCTTGTTTTAAGATCCAAGGGGGTTGGATGTGGACTCACCAGGAATTGGTGGGGGAATGGTTGATTTCTCCTTGTTTTAAGATCCAAGGGTTTGGATCTGTGTTCACCAGGAAATTGGTGGAGAAGTCTCTCAGGGCTACCCAGGGAAGGGTTATAGTACTTGGGAGGGAGATATTCTGGGGGGGAGGTAGACAGAGTTTCCCAAATGACTCATAAATAATTTGGGTGGTGGCAGCAAAACCAGATCTAAGCTGGTAGTTAAGCTTAGAGGTTCTCATGCAGGTTCCCACATCTGTACCCTAGAGTTCAGAGTGGGAAAGGAACCTTGACAACACCTGTTTAAAGTTCTTGGTTATTGAGACCCCCAGGACCTCGAATGGACAGGGATCATGCTGGTAACTAACGCAGCCCAGCAGGGGAAGCGGTGGGGGGCTGGTACAGTTCACTGAATCCAAACCAGAGAGCAGGAGCTGTTTCTCCTTTAGCACTTGTCTGTGACTTGTAGGAAGACAATTGGGTTCAGGGGTGGTGAGTTATATGGGCCCATGGTGCCCGGGCTCCAGCAAATGGAGGACCCAGCTCCACCAATGTTCGGGGCTGGGTCTCTCCCCCAGCC